TGTGAGGAATGGGAGATCAATAAACCAACAATTTTTAACAGTGTAGTAAGCGCCTATATTAAGAAAAGTCAGAGAATATATTTTAGAGTTTTTAAGTTGAGACCTAAGGGATGAATAGAAGTCATCTTGATGGAGGAGGTGGAAGAGTTACGAAGAAAATAACTTGCATAAGGGCAGCACTGTACAAGGCAGAGAAAGGGAGCGGGATGCATCTCTGAACCCCAGATGATTGAATATGATAGGACATAAAATAGGTAGATGGGCTGGAACAGAAACATGAGAGCTGGAAAGATAAGCTGGTTCCTTCTCTTTTTTTAATATTTATTTTTTAGTTACCAGTGGACACAATATCTTTATTTTTATGTGGTGCTGAGGGTTGAACCCGGTACCTTACGCATGGTAGGCAAGTGCTTTACCTCTGAGCCACAACCCTAGCCCCTAAGCTGGTTCCTTCTTTTGTTTTTTTAGTTTTAAAGAGAGAGAAAATTTTAATATTTATTTTTTAGTTATTGACGGACACAGCATCTTTTGTTTTTGTATGTGGTACTGAGGATTGAACCCGGGCCACACACATGCCAGGCAAGCACGCTACTGCTTGTGCCACATCCCCAGCCCTAAGCTGGTTCCTTCTTGAAGGACTTTCTAAGACATAATTTTTGTCCTGGGGGCAATTGGGAGCTACTGCATGGGTAAAATATGATCATGTTTACATATGTAGAATTCTAGAAATAGTAAATTTGTTCATTTGAACCTAGGCACATGGGTCTTGGCATTGACTTGTAGATGCTGCCTACTGACAACCTTAGGCAGACTCGGTAACATAGATTGCCTAAAAATCAAAAGAGGAGCCAGGTGGTGGTGGAGCATACCTGTTAAGCCCAGTGACTTTGGGACGCTGAGACAGGAGGATTGCAAGTTCAAGACCAGCCTCCAAAATGTAGTGAGATCCTGTCTCAAAATAGAAAAAGGACTGGGAATGTACTGTAGTGGTAAAGGTGCCCCAGGTTTTACTCCCTAGTACCAAAAAAAAACTTATTAAAAATAAATAAATAAAAATCAAAAGAGGACTTGGAATATAGCTCACTGGTAGAGGACTTACCTAGCATATGCAAGATCCTGGGTTGATCTTCAGTACTGTAAAAACAAACAAAAGAACACAGTAAGTCCTTTACCCCCCAAAAAGCTAAGGGTCTAACAGCCCCTAAGTACCCAATTTCATAATGAAAGCCCTGAACACTTAACAGAAAAATATTAACTCAAAGAGGAAATTGCTGCCCTTAATGTAACTAAAAATCCTGCACTATCACTTTTTACCTCATGTGTCCTTGTATATTTACAGACACACCCTCTGCTGAGCCCCACATCTCTTGCCTTATTGTCTTCTCCTTACCATGGACGTTTCCACTGTGTAGCTCCTCTTCTTTTCTAGGTGGGCATATCATATTCTCTAGTAACTTCATTTTAATAAGGCATTCAAGGCTCCAGGCTTAGTCTTCTTCCTAATCCAAGGACTAAGTACTAACTGTTCTTTGCTCTGGTGAGTTAGTTATGTTGATTTCTAAGAATTCTTTTGAGCTGAAGGGGGGGTAGTTCAGTTGTAGAGCACTTTCTTAACATGCACAAGGCCCCGTGTTTGATCGCCAGCACTTGGGAAAAAAGCAAGGTCAGATACCAGAGAAGATGTAGGCTATTTGCAGGTTTTAAAACAACACAAGCTGCTTCTTCCATCTGCTGTTGGAGGTCATCATGCATTGTAGATCAGATCTATAAGATCTACTGATGAACTTCTAACCCATGTAAATATTGATGTAAAAATAACCAGACTATGTGGTGCATGCCTTTAATCCCAGTGACTTGGGAGGCTGAGGCAGGAGAATTGCAAGTTGAGACCATCTTGGGCAATTTAGCAAGGCCTTATCTCAAAAAAGTGATGGGGAGGACTGGGGATATGACTTAGTAATAGAGGGCCCCTGGGTTTGATCTCCAGTACCACAAAAATACCTTAGCAAGAATATCAGAGGTCAGCTAGGCACAGTGGTGCATGCCTGTAAACACAGCAGCTTGTGAAGCTGAAGCAGGAGGATCACAAGTTCGAAGCCAGCCTCAGCAATTAAAAAGAAAAAGGACTGGGAATACAGCTCAGTGGTAAAGCACCTCTGGGTTCAATCCCTAGTTTAAAATAAATAAATAAATAAAAAAATCAGAGAACAAAACAGGTATCAGAAATATCATGGAAAATGTTAAAAAAAAAAAAACTTTGAGCCAACTCTCATTCAAATCCAGGTATAGTAGCACAATTCTGTAATCCCAGTGACCCAGGAGGCTGAGGCAAGAAGATCACAACTTCAAGGCCAAGCTCAGCAAGGCCAACTGCATATGGGATAATATTAAGAAATTACTGTTACTTTGTTTTAGCTGGGATAATGATATTGTGATTATATTTTTATAAAAAGTGCTCATCTTTTAGATATCCATAAGGACGACTTATTTATGACAGAAATCATTGAACAAGAATTTGCTTCAGAATAGTTTAGTAGATTAGCAGTGGTGGTGGCAGGGAAGGGATGAGTTGAAATGAGTTTGACTCTGAGTTAATGTCTGTTTAAGCTTAGTGAAGGACACATGGATCCATTGCACAGGTTTCTGTGTGCCTCTTAATCCATAATAAAATGTTTTGTTTCAAACAACAACAACAAATTTTTAAAAAGTCTGGGGATGTAGCTCAGTAGTAGAGATCTCTTGCATTCAATCCCCAGTATCAAAGGTGATGGGGGGAACTTATTCAAAGGGTTCAGATTATATAATTTCCGGTTTTTCTTAGTATTGCCTGAGGTCTCCTCTAAGAATTAAAGGACTCATTGCACAGGGCTGATTGCAACCTGGGCTTTTGGACTCTTACCCACTGAAGGTCATCCCAAGTGAGGTTCCATATTTACATTGAGTTTACATTCTTGAATTCAAGAACCAGTATAGCTTTGAACCCAGACAGCTTCAACTATATCTTAGAGTATTTTCCAAATAAATCAAAGCAGAAAACATAATTACAAATTCTGTTTGTTTCTCCAAAAGTGCCATTGCTGAGTTTGAGTGCAGCCTTATCAGAATCTTGGCCTACATTCTACATTTCAGTGCTGGGGATCAAACCCGGGTCTCTGTGCTAGGCAGGGGCTCTACCACTGAACTATATCCCCAGGCCAAAAATACACCATTCTTATATCCGTACCACACAGCATCAAAGGAAATATATGGTTTAAGTTTTGAATATTTCTTTAAACTTTGTTTAAATTTTCTTTTAATTCCATCATTAAATTCTGCTATATAAATTACCTTTATCCAAATTAAGATCACCAAATAAATACATATCAAGCTCAAGAACTTACCTCATTTGATGTTAAGCCTAATTTTTATTTTGAATTTCACTGAATTGCTCCCATCTCACTTTTTAAAAAATTTTTTTTAGTTATACATAGACATAATCTTTATTTTTATGTGGTGTTGAGGATTGAACCCAGTATCTCACATGTGCAAGGCAAGCGCTCTGCCACTGAGCCACAACCCTGGCGCCATTTCACTTTCTTTTTATAATAATATAGGAAAATATATGATTTCGTGATTTATATTACATGAAACCTCCCTTTGAACAGAAGCCTTACGTGTCAAGTAGAATGTCAGTGTTTGCTGCCACCCTCAGAGTGTCCCTCAGGACTATATCCCTTCATCAAAGGAAAGGTATTCTTTTAAACCCTTTTCAGCTCTTAGGTCTTATAACAGAACGGCTCCTTTCCTGCTTTCTTCTCATTCAGGTTTCAGTCTGTATTTTGGCTGACACAAACATCTAAAGAGTTTTAGCTCCACTATTTCTGATTTCCTTGTAAGTTACACATTCCTCCATCACTGATTGGTAAGTAAGTGACTATTCAAACAATAGATCTGTTTATAGATAGGATATTTTATTGCCATAGTTCATATGACAGCATCATGAAGTGGCCCAAGTGCTGTCCCAAGGCTAATATATGAAAAAGATCTATCAGTCTATGCTTGTCTTTTGCTTCAGAACTAAATGCCCTTCACTTACCTCCCAAGTGTGTTCCCTACCCTTCACTCTTAACCCTTGTGCTTATTATGAATTAATTTTCCTATAATTCACCTATAACCTATTTTAGATATGCTTTCAATCTTTTACAGTTACTAAACCAAGGAGATTTAACTGAAAGACGGACATGAGCATGGGTGCTCCTGGAAGAGCAGCTCTGATCCCAGAATGCATAGTGGGAATAAGGATGCAAAGGCTCACGACCTGCCAGAACCAAATGAATATGTGAAGGACAAGACTCTACTTTTTCCTGTTTATCTTCCCTGGCAGAGAAAATGGATTATGAGAGCTTTTCTTCAGCCACCATCTAATTCAGACAAGGAGCCAAGCAGTGATCGTGGGATGGGTAACAACCTGCCTCTCTCCCCACTGCAAAATTTTGGGATAGACTTTTCCCTAAAGTGAATTCAATTACGTGTTGGCTTAAGTTTTCCATTATGACTGGTTGAGGGGAGGTTTTCCTTTGAAGAGCTTTCATCCCAGATCCAGCTATCTTTTCACAGGGATGAACAATGTCCTGTCACCAACTACGGAACTTCACCAGAAGTTTTCAAGATGCCTTGTTGCTTTGAAGAAGGGAGTGATGTCAGTTCTGTCTGCATTCTCCCTTTAGCAACCTGAGTTAACAGACTCTCAGCCATTGGGCTGCAAAAAATAAATTACTTGAATCTCCCCTTGGCCCAGGCTGAGGTACTGTCTTGTCCTGTACACCTCTACTTGGTCACTTTGTTTTCTTTGCTTATGGAACATAATAGTAGCATGTTAAGAGGTTTTTGTTTTGTTTCTTAAGTTAAAAATCACATGATCCATTTTTCCCTTTAAATAAAACAGCCCAGGCAGTTATTTGGTTCTTGTTTTAGACAAAACTTGTTTCCTTATAGAGAAAATAAATAATTCATTCCTTCTCTTTAAAGATAGAACACTGATTTATTGTTAGGATTCCATGAGGTAAAGCAGAACTGAGGAGTCTTAGGAAACATGAGTGTCTTCATTTCTAACTAGCAAACCCAGATGGTTGTTTGAGAGCATCCTTCTGTTACCATCAGAAAAGACCATGTCTGCATCTGAGAAAACAGCAACAACAACAGATAATTTTGAATTTTTTCTAGAAAGATAATTTGTTAAAAGATATTCATACTCCTCTTGTGCTATGTGGATTCAGTTCATGGCAATTAAAATCCCAGTGTTTGCCTTCTGCAGTCTTACTTTGATATTGGATGATTCTCACCCTGGGCAGTTTTTGTCCTCTAGGGGACATCTGGCAATATCTGGAAACACTTTTGGTTGTCAAACTAAAAGAAAGTGCTACTGGGATATTGTGAGTAAAGACTAGGGATCCTGCCTATAAAGGACAGCTTCCTCTCATAACTACCAATTTAAAAAAAAAAAAAAAAATCCCAAAATATCAAGTGCTAAGGATAAGAAACCCTGAACTAAAGGTTGCAAATTTGTCATCCCCCATGGGCTAAATCTGGTAAACAGATGTGTTTTATTTTGCCCACAAAAAATAACTTTGGCAGCTGGTACCAGGGATTGAACTCAGGGGCACTCAAACACTGAGCCACATCTCCAGCCCTATTTTGTATTTTATTTAGAGTCTGAATTGCTTAGTACCTCACTTTTGCCGAAGCTGGCTTTGAACTCTCAATCCCCCTGCCTCGCCTCCCAATCCGCTGGGATTACAGGTGGGTGCCACCATGCCTGGCCTAAATAATTTTTAATTAGTTGCCAAGATGCACATTTCTGGCTTTGTGTGTGTGTTGTGTGTGTGTGTTGTGTGTGTGTGTGTCTGGTACTGGAGATTAAGTCCATGGGGAGTGCTCTGCCACTAAAGCTCTAGCCCCCAGCCCTGGCCTTTTTTTTTTTTTGTTAAGACAGGTTCTTGCTAAGTTTCTGAGGCTAGCCTTGAACTTGTGATCCTCCTGCTTCAATCTCCCAAGTAGCTGTAACATTTCTGGCTTCTGATGACAATAGCTGATGTTGTAATTCTGGGCCTGTATTCTAACAGGATTTATGCTCTCTGGTTCCTTACTATCTCCTATCTTATATCTACCCCATTTAACTCACTCATGTTTCCTGAACAGCCCTGATTAGCATTTTGGCTTGTGTTCTTTTTTCTATAGTTGCTCTTAAATGTCAGGTACAAAGTAAGACCCCTTAGGTCTGGGTTATGATCCCTCTATCCTGAGCTTCTCTAATTTGATTCTTTAAAAACATTCCTGTTATCTGTCACTCTTCTTTTCCTTATTCTCTAATAGTAGCAATATTCAAACTCAAGTTTTGCCTGCCTTGACTCAACCCCTAGTGAGATATTTGATGCGCAAAAGCAGTAATGTTACATGAGCTGATTAGGCCAATGATTTCAGATGGTCTGATGATTCATAATACAGCTCCTCCGATTCTTTTTGGGGGCTTAGAAGCTGTTCTAGAGATCCTTCTAAATCCTTCTGTGGATCATTGATGCTGAGGTTTGTAGTTTCATAGATGCTGCAAAGTAAATGAAAACATTATGAAACAGAATATTTTAAATTAAAGGAAGCAATGTATAAAGTTTAAGAATGGCCTCAACTTTTTTTTCCCCCCTGTATGAGGGATTGAACTTAGTAAGGGCAGTCCACTGAGCTACATTTCTAGCTCTTTTTTTTTTTAATATTTTTTAGTTGTCAGTGGGTATTTTATTTATTTATATGTGGTACTGAGGATCGAACCCAGGGCCTCACATATGCCAGGCAAGCACTCTACCACTGAGCCACAACTCCAGCCCCTTAGATCTCACTAAGTTACCCAGATTGGTCTCAAACTGGTGATTCTCCTACCTTAGCTTCCTGAGTCACTGGGATTACTGGCATATGATGCTTGGCTATAAAGAGACATTTCTGTTTTGTTTTTGGGAATTGAACCCAGGGTACTTTACCACTGAGCTATTTCTACTCCTTTTTATATTCTGAGGCAGGGTTTTACTAAATGGCTGAGGCTGGCCTTGAACTTGCAATCCTCCTGCCTTAATAATCCCAAATTTTATGGATTGCACACATGTGCCACCATGCCTGGCTATAAAGCACCGTGTCTAAGGGGAAAACAGGAATTAGTGGAGGATATACTGGAACTTGAGAAACAGAATTGAGAATAATGGAGATGCTATCCTTTTCTCCCTTTCACTTTACCTGGGGGAATCCTTGGCATTAGACTCCTCCTTCCATTGTACAGCCCGGGTGCCTCGACTCTTGTTCCTCACAAAGTCTTCCTCCAGTCCAGCCTGCTTCAGGGTGTCTCGATACCGTTGTTCTGCTTCTTTCCTGGCAAGGTCCTGAAGGATAGAAATTAATCTGCTGTAGCTATCTTGTGAATTGCCATCTTAATCAGTATCTCTACAATAATGTCCCTACCACCACCTCCAAAACTTAGTGCTTGACAGATTTGCATAAAAATTAATGTTTTTCAAGCTTTAATGTACAATTGAGCCCCAGAGGATCTTGTTAAAATGCATAATGTTAATCTGAGATGCTGCTGTCACTCTGCAGCTCTAAATTGTTATCTTCAGCAACATCACTGGGAGGAACCTTTAAAACAACCACTCATTTTGAGATCAAAATCTGGGATCACCATACAACACATTTGAATTAGGCATAGTGTGGCTGTGAATAAAATATAACCATTGATATTAGATTTAGATTTCTTTAGTTTGAAACAGATCATTTTTCAAATCCGGTTCCAATTGCAGAAGAGGCCTGCAACTCTAGCAACTCTATGTCTTCAGGAGAAGCCAACTATTAATTTGGGAACCACACCTTTAAAAACGAGGACTTGAATTTGTGGGAGATGAAGTGAAACTCAGATGAAAAATGGGGGACTAAAACCATTTTAAGATTTAAAGTTCTTTATTTATTTTCATTTTCTTATTTTTTGGCACTGGGGATTAAACCTAGGGCGCTTTACCACTAAGTAACATCTCCAGTCCTTTTTTTAAAATTTTGAAACAGGGTCTGGCTAACTCAGGGCCTCATTAAATTGCTGAGACTGGCTTTGAACTTTTGATTCTGCTTCAGCCTACTGAGTTGCTGGGGTTATAGATGGGCACCACTGCACCCAGCAGTTTATGATTTAAAAGCAACCAAACCATTCTTAGGAACACCAAGACAGAAGAAAGTAAGGTGCATTGAGAACATTCTTAACATAAGGATGATAATCTGTATGTGAATGTTAATTTTTGCTTGTTTTAGTTTAAGTATTATTCAAGAGCAAAATTGTAGTACTCTGTTTTTCCTAGTGTGTTGAAAAAATCTGTAGGGATCTAAAGACTAAACCTGCTTGACACAAATTAACATAAAGAGGAAAGGTCGGCTTGAGATTTTGAACAATGTGAGTTGCTAAGTAAACCCAGTCAGTCCAGTGTGTTGGTGGCATACAGGTGTGCTTGGGGAAGGGGGTGGACCTGGACCCCTACATGCCTAGATCCTGCAATATCTACAGGATGGAGCTAATACTCAGAAACTGGAACCAGCCACTGTGGAATCCCAACTATTGTCTGAAACTAAGGGAAAAGGGATATAAAGAACATGATCTCAAACTGCCTGGGATGGTTTCCTTTGTGGGCTGAACAGACTTGCTTAGGGAAGTCGCAACTGAGTTCACCTTCCCCTTAAGTCTAGAGAATATCTTCAAATGATTCTTTCACCTGAAAGCCAAAGTTAATCTAGAAAGAGCCTTGTGGGGTGTTTGTGAGCATCTGAACCCATGAAGACCTATATTTAAGGGGGAAACATGTAGTAATAAAAGGTGTTTCGATTTAGAATATCTGAATCTTAAGGAAATGATCAGTGCCCACATACTAAAATTGTTTCTTAACTTCTAAGCTCACACTCATCCAGGCAGAAAAGAAAATGAGTGGTAGTTGAGTTTTACCTTGGTAACTTGTTCGAAGAGATACGGTCTCTTTTGTATTCTCTTCTTCATTTCCTCCAATTCTTTCTTATACTCTTTTGCTCTTTTACGGTCATTGTTCCTGGAATTGATAAGATTTCTAGAAAGAATTCCATCTTTTTCAATCTAGAATGCCCTTCATTTATGTTGTGTTGAGTTATTCTAACTCCCATGTGTATTATAAATTCCTAACTGCCTGGCAAAATTCTTGACTCCCTGTGATCACAGAAGCTTAATAACTCCACATATTCCGGGCAACCATATGTTGGATCCCAAGACCTGCACCCTTTTGACACTAACCGGTTCTCTTTCAGCTTTTCTTTGAACACCTCCTCCAGGCTTTTATGGGGATCCATGGCTTTTGCACGCAAGGTCACAGATTTAGACATTGCTTGACACTTCTTTTTGTGCATCTCCAACCACCGAATGCTCTCATCTACTCTGTCTTTTTTTTCAAGTGAACTTCTAAAGGGAGAGAACAAAAATAAGAGTACAGATAATCAACCTGGGTATATTTAGAAGCAATCGTAGTACTCTTTCTGGAAAGTGTTTTTTTGTTTGTTTTTTATGAATGAGGCAGATAATTGACCATGGTGCCATTTTCAGGAACAATAAGCTTCTGGGATTAAATGCATTGGGAAATGAAACCTTTCCAGCATTATGGGAAAAGTTCATTCATTGAACTCGAGATATGTATATCCTTAAATAGCCAAATACTCAGAAAATCTGATAGGTTCCTCACTTATCTGGAAACAATATTAACAACTACCATTTGCTGGGCTACCCACCCATGAATCAAATACTATTACATTTCATGTAATCTTCAAAAGGGCCTCATAATGTAAAGACTGTAAGCTCCCCTTTTACAGAGGAGGAGTCTGAGGATCAGTCTCCAACATGCCAACAGGAAAGCCATGATCAGAACCAGAATCTCTGCCCTTGAACACTGTAAACAGTGGGCAGGAAGGTATTTGGGTTTGTGTTTATTTTTTTTAATATCTTTTTAGTTGTTTTTTTTTTTTTTAATAGTATCTTTTTAGTTGTTGATGGACTTTATTGTCTTTATTTTTATGTAGTGCTGAGGATTGAACCCAGTGCCTCATGCATGCTAGGCAAGCATGCTACCACTGAGCCACAACCTAGCCCCGGGTTGTGATTCTTTGTGAATACAATTTGCATATATAAAAAGAACTGGAAATTAGCCTCCTTCAATACCCACTGAAAATTTGGGGTCAACCTGCAGCGCTTGGTTTGTGTAATTACCATTCTACAAGATTCTATGGCGAGTTCTACCAAAAAGAAAAAAAATTAAGGCCTGCACTGGGATATGTATATTCATTAAGAAAGGGCATGAAAATTTAATCAAATTCTGAGCCAGGTGTGGTGGTGCACGCCTGCAATACCAACTACCCGGAAGGCTGAGGCAGGAGAATTGCAAAGTTTGAAGATAGTCTGGGCAATTTATTGAGACCCTGTCTCTAAATAAAAATAAAGGGTCAAATATGTAACTCAATGGTAGAATTCTGGCCTAGCAAGAGCAAGGACTTAAGTTTCAGTCTCCCATACAAGGGGGAAAAAAAAAATCAAACTCCAGGGTTAGTGATGTAGCTCAGTGGTAAGTACTTGTCTAGCTTGCGTGAGATCCTGGGTTAGATCCTCAGCACTGTTTTTAAAAGAAGAAGCTGGGCATGGTGGCACACCAGAGGCTGAGACAGGAGGATCGTTGAGTTCAAATACAGTCTCAGCAATGGCAAGATGCTAAACAATTCAGTGAGACCCTGTCTCTAAAAAAATACAAAATAGGGCTGTGGATGTGGCTCAGTGGTTGAGTGCCCTGAGTTCAATCTCTGGTACCAAAAAAAGGGAGGGAAGAAAGAAAATGTCCAATTCCTTACTGTGGGAACAGAGATGTGGGTATTCTCCGTAGCTGGCTGGCTTCTTGTTCATGAGCCACTCTTATTGGGCTTTAGGAACTGATGCATTTAAGGGATGCATTTATGTCTTGTGGATCTTAAGTACATTTCTACAATCCCTCTTGCCTGCAGGAGCCAAGTAAAATCTACTTCCATGGAAGCCCCATGGGAAGGTATTTAGAGGTACTAGATGTTAGTCCTTTCCCAGGACTATCCTGCTTTGCTTTACCTCAGAGGCCTGAAGGAGAAGGAACTCTCCTGGGGGACTGGCTCAAAGAGAACAATACCAGAATGAGGTCAGCTGAAGAGTTAAAAATAAACAGGCTGGGCTGGAGAGTGTACAGCTCAGTGGTAGAGTTCTTGGCTCAGATGCTCAAGACTCTGGTTCTGTCCCCCGCCCCCAACACTGCAAAAACCAAACAAACAAAAAACTCCTACTTCCAGACTCTGACATCTCCCTAAGATGACTCTCAGAGCATTTCTAGGTAATCAGTGTTTCATTATCTTTGTGACAGGTTCAGCCACCTGCTATCACACTTTTCTGAATTCTTGTTCTTTGTGGCTACCACCCTCTTTTTATGTATAGGCTTTTATGCATGTTATTCTGTCTGGAACTCTCTTTCTCTCAAGCCTTCATATGTCTAACTCCCTGTCATTCTTTAGATTTCATCTCAGACATTTTTCCAAAAGGCAAGAGACCCCTGCCCCAGGCTGCCTGGTGCCCTCACAGTACTCTTTACAAAATACAGTAATAGCATCTGAGCTTTTCTGTATTTCAGACTAGATATTACACTTTAGGTTTCTAAAGGATCTTCAGCCTTAACATTGTGCCTTGCACCAAATAAGTCCCCTAGAGAACTGAGTGGTGGCTAGCCCCAGGCATGGAGACCACATGTATTCCTGCCCTGATCAAGGAATCTTTCAACCCCTTTGTGGTGTCTCTGAGGACAGGTGAGAAGGCCTCACAGGAAGGTGGATTCCAGAATTTTACCCAGATCAGAGCATTGAGTCTTATGCAGCCTGACCACTCACCTGACTGCAGATTCCCTCTTCCTGGTGGCATCTGTGATATGCACAGGGAGGGTGTTGGTGGAGAGGGAAGCAAGGCCACTCAGAGAATGACTCCTTGTTAGGAGTGTAGCTGGTGGCTCTGGGGAACCCTAGAAGAAAGGAAAGCTGGTATTGGTGGAATAGCATGTATGACTAGTTTCTGTCTTAGTTGAGATTCAATTTCAGTGAAAGACTGAAAATGAGAATCTTTCATTTTATTCCTAGGAATAAGACAAAGATAATGAGATCTCAAGGTTAGTAACCAGGACAAGACTAGGATAATAACCGTAAAGTTTTTTTATCAAATGATATTTCCTTGGAAATTGTATAGGGACACAAGCAATTGATCCCAATTCCCTGCCTTCCAGACCTGCTTGTGCATATATCTGCAAAATCCTTCTAGATAGAGGGAATGAAAAGGAGTGCTCCTGAGGTCTTAAATTTGCAGGAATGTGGATCTGCTTACAACTGATATGCCTAGACACAGGAGGCTGAGACAGAAGGATCCCAAGTTGAAGGTCAGTCTTAGCAGCTTAGTAAGACCCTGTCTCAAAATTTTAAAAAGGCTGGGGGAAAAAAGAGTTAAGGTTGGGCTGGGGATGTGGCTCAAGCAGTAGCGTGCTTGCCTGGCATGCGTGTGGCCCAGGTTCGATCCTCAGCACCACATACAAAACAAAGATGTTGTGTCCGCCGAAAAACTAAAAAATAAATATTAAAATTCTCTCTCTAAAAAAAAAAAAAAAGAGAGAGAGTTAAGGTAGAAAAATGTCATGAGAAGTGCTTTCCTTCAAGCCCCAGGCCCATCATGCATTTCATGCCCCAGGAGGTCCTGGCCCTCCCACAGTTCCCTGGGCCCTCACCCTCCTTCCTTCAGTGGTGGAAGCATCACAGGATCTTGGAGAATGACGCAGGTTGGCGGTCCTCAGCAAGAAGGGCTTGTTGCGAGTTGCCTCCCGGGTTTCCTTTCTCTTGGCAGCTCTTCTCTGGAAGGCTTGATATAGACCCTCATGGTCAGGAACAACAGGATTCACCTGAGGTTGGAATCCAAAGTCAGGCTGCAGAAAGCCAAGCTTTTTCTCCTGGGTTCGGGCAGCTGTGCGGGGCTGTGAATCAGCCCGGCTACTAGAGGAGGCAACAGGGGAGGAGGCCTTCCGGAGCATGTCCAGGGCCCTCATCTGGATGCGAATTTTTCTGAGGAGCTCGGCTTCTGTGGAGAAAGAATCAGGGCAGTGATGAGTACATACAGACCAAGCTTCACACCAAAGCACCAGCAGTAGTGTGAAGTCAACTGTTAACTTTTCAGGAACACTGTAAACCCACTGACATCCTGTGGGAAACCTGCATTTGGCCACAATATAAAGAAATGGCAAAATTTTACAAACTTAAAAATTTTTCAAAAATGAGTTTGCTTTTTTTTCTCTTTTCTGGAATGTCATTAGTATACAGTGACCAGGCCACCACTGCCCATGCTAGTCATACTGCAGAAACAGCTACCATTTATGCTTGTTGGGCACTTTCTACAACTTCCTCTTTAGAGACAAAGCAGGGGAAATCAGGCCATCCCCCTGCTTCTCTCCAGCCACTCAAATGCCCACACCCTTTGCCCAAACAATTGTCGAGTCTTCCCTCTCTCCTATCAAACTTTCTGTATCTTCCTCTTTAGCCTTTCTCTAGCCTCTCTCTTTCCTTCATCCCCACTGTTAGTTTCATGCTGTCTAAACTGAATTGTTGAAGTGGCCTATAAGATCAACATCTCTCCAGTTTTGCTGCCACCTTTAATTATCTACAATAGCAAGTGATCTTTCTGAACTGTGTATCTGATCATGAGCCACCCTACTTAAAACCTGCCAGTGCCCTTGGGATGGAATCCAAACTCATCCAAGTGGCCAGCAAGTCCCCTCAGAGCTTTCTTATACCTATCCTTCCTCCCTTGTCACCCTTCTCTGATCCTCTCAGCTTCCATCTACCTCCAGGCCACATCTCTACTTGGCTCTTCCTCCTCCCTCTTCACCAAATTAACTATGGTTCCTCTGTCAGGATCACCCCAGAGCTCACTTTCTCTGGATCCCTCCTGAACTTCTCTCTCTCCTCACCACACACTGAATTAGGTACTTTTATTGTATGCTCAATGCTTCCTCCCTTTAATTCTTACAAATGACTCATCCCATTTGTTTTTGCGGCTGTTCTGTGGTACTGGGGATTGAACCCAGGGTGTTCTACCACTCAGCTATATTCCTAGTCATTTTAATTAAAATTTTATTTTAAAAATTTGGGGAAGGCAAAATCTCAGTGTAACATGATAGCCATTTATTTCTCTGCCTGTTGAAAGCCCAGTGAAGGCCCAGCCACATGTTGTCTTAGACTGGAGGTGACCTCCACCAGGGCTTGTGGGCACATGCAGCAGGGAGAGGGAAAGAGCTCTCATCTCCTTAAAGAGAAAAAAAAAAATGGGGGAAGGGTACTGGGGATTAAATTCAGGGGTGCTTTGCCACTGAGCTATATCCCCCAGCCCTTTTATTTTTTATTTTAAAATAGAGTCTTGCTAAATTGTCTACACTGGCCTGGAACTTGAATCCTCCCACCTCAGCTTCCCAAATAGCTGAGATCACAAATGATTTATCCCATTTATAATTATTTTTCTATTATCTGCCTCTTCACATGTCTACAAACTCCATGTTTGCTTATTCATCTGAGAACAGTGCCTGGTAAGTACCATATGTGGCTGTGGAATGAATAAAGCCTGAGGCCCTTATTCACATGTATTTTTTAACCCTCCCTCATGGCCTACATTGAGCCTGCAGCCTCTAATGGGTCCACCCAGAGAGCTCATCTCCAAGCCAAGCCGACTAACCAACTGGGTCTTTTGGTACCCACAAGCAGGAGGCGGCAGGTGGCAAGGATATCTTTACCCTCGAGTTTGTCTCCAAGGGCTGGTTCCAGAATGGACTTGGGGATCCTTCTTATGGCCTTCTTTGGGGGGACCGTAGCCTTCACTGTGGCAGCCAGGTCTCTCTGTCGTGCAGCTTCCTTTCGCTGCTCCTCCTTCTCCAGGAAGCTGAAGGGCCTTAAGGATGAGAGAAGCAGTTCCTTCCTCTTCTGGATCCCTGCCTGTCTCTGGGCCTCCCTACGCTCCATGATGTCCTGGTAGAGGGGTAGGTAGACATGTGCAGGTACAGGCTGTGCCCGGAACTGTCTGTGGCACTCAGCCTCCTCTTGGCCCTGCCTCTGGGCCTGCTGCCTCTTCTGCTCAAAGGAGGCAGGTGAAGCCAGCCACTGAGCTTTCTTTTGGGCCTCCCGCAGTGTCATGCAGAATGGTTGAGGGACGGTGATGGACGATGTCCAGGAGCTGACACTTCTGTGCTGGGAGTCAGGCTTGGAGCCTGAGGGCGGCTGGGCCTGAGCCTTTGGAAGACCTGAAGAAAGGCTGTTCAGGGAGCTGCAGCGCCTTGTGGAGTCACACCTGTGGGAGAGAGCAGGTCTGTGTGTGGAGGACTGGGCAGTCAGGAGGCCCTGCTGTTTCCTGATCCTCTTCCCCAGGCCTCTTTGCCAGGCAAGCCACAGCTAGCTTCTCAGCCTGATCTCACAGCCCCATAAGCCTCTATACCCATAACTCTTCCATGAGGCCTCCCCACTCTTCCCACAGGCAATCCTAGCAGCCTAGTAGAAACGTTCTCAGAATTGATCCACAAACTGCCATGTTTGCACTCTTATTTGCATATGACAGAGAAAACAGTGCAATGGGTCAAAGCAGGAATTTAGAATTAGATCTAAGTTAAAGACCTGCTTCAAACCTTAAGATTATGAATTTCCTCATATGTAGAGTGACAAATATAATATCCACTTATAAGGTTACTGGGAGGAGAAAGCAAATACTAAATGAGCTAAAGTATGCATCACATAGCCGAGTTGGCCAAGGTCAATATACCTTGTCATTCTTGGGGAAAGGGTTGTTTAGGAAAGACATTCCTTTAATCAATTCTAATGTTTCATTGAACTAAGAGTTGCCCACAATGATTTAGGATTGCTGGTAGGAATCAAAACAGTTGGTTGGACTCAAAACCTGATTATGAGCCAGACCCTGCCTAAGTAGAAATTTGCAGACATGGTCTCTACCTGACAAAGGAAGATATAGCCCAGAGACATGGCATGACTGCCCCAGAGTGGTGGAGTGGGGTAGCTGTTGACTGTAGAGCCTTACCTCTGAGATCCAGGGTACTGGATCTGTGGCTTCCCCCTGCCCTTGTCCTGGAAGAAATTCTCTAGGACCTCATCATCTTCAGAGATGTTCTTATCACTGTCTGAGTCAGCCTGAAAAAGGGACTCCAACAGACCCTGTTTGTCCCTTTGCTTTAGAACCTGTAGGGAGTCATAAAAGCTTCCAGTTGAGACAGAGGTGGACTCTGTCTCATCCTCTAGGCTGAAGAGCTCATGGAGTTTTCCAGCCCTGGGTAAAACCATACCATCCCCAGACAGTTTGTCTTCTGCCTCCGTGTCAGAGGAGGATTGGGGGGAAAGTATCTAAAATGGAACAGAAATAAACTGTGAGTTAAACTATAATTTCTACAATCTTCAAAACATAATGATTAATTTCACTTTGAATAAGTCTTAGTATATTAGGGATAAGAGGAACAAATGTGTTCCTTGCTCTAAAGAAATTTCACATCCTGGTATACAGATGTGCTTGGTTGTAGGGCAGGAAAGGGAAGCAAAGAGCTAAAGCATGTTCCCTATCCCTGCAGTACAGTAAGCAGACCCCCTAACCTGCACCATGCATTCTGACCCATGCATTCTAGGAATCCTACCCAGGACCCTGGGCACACTCTGTACCCACTTTCCTTGAGATTTACCCGTTGTTCTTCTCTTGTTGCCCTGTTTAGGCCCCTGCTTTTCTCATGTTCTAACTAATTTCTATTCTATCACTAGAAATGGATGATTAATAGGACAATGTAGTCTAATGGAAAGAGTGACATCCTAGAAAATGAGACACCCAACCAACTTTTAAATAATTTATTCAGGGGCTAGGGGTGTAGCTCAGTGGTAGAAAGCTTGCCTAGCATGCTCAAGGATCGGATTTGTCCCCAGCACTGGAAAATGACAACAACAAAACTTCATTCATTCATTCATATAGAAAATATCTGTTGGATATCTAACACACTGGACTGAAAACAAGACAAACAAAGTCTCTATTCTCAAGAAGCTTACATTCTAGTGAGAGGAGACAGAAAATTTAATAAGATCACATATTCAAATAAAACCATAAACACTGAGGTTATAGAGTGATGGGTTACTTATGGAAAACTTTTATGTTGATAAAATCTATTAGAGTCACTAGGAATATATCAATAATCAGAGTGATGTTTATTAATTATAGTACATCATGGGAAACAATAAGGAACCTGGTGTGTGCGTATTAGTGGCAGGGTTTTAGTGTTGGCTTGTCTTAGGAAGGTCATAAGAGGATGGGTGCAGTCATGAAGTAGGAACAATTTAACCTTTTCTTTTGGTATTGGGTTTTTGTTGTTTTGTAGTACTGGGGATTGAACCCAGAAGAACTCTTTCACTGAGCTATATCCAGCCCCTTTTTTAAACTTTTTATTTTGAGAAAGTCTTGATAAATTGCCCAGGTTGGGTTGGAATTTGTGATTCTCCTGCCTCAGCCTCCAGAGCGGCTGGGATTACAGGTGTGTGTCACCACACCCAACATGGGAATGGTTTAGTGAGTGGGTAATTGAGCATTTTTTTTCCCTGCAGGGATAGGTAAGTAACTGTTAAGTAAGCATTATCATTTAGAAGAAGGGGTGTTAGTAATTTTGTAGCTATATTATGGCCCCAAGAGAAACACTATTTCCTGCTGATTTTGCAGCTGGCTTTATCTGTGTCTGTTATGGTCTGGGGGATACAAATGTTCCTTGACGTATGATGGGGTTATGTCCAGATAATCCCATTGTAAACTGTTAATAAGTAAAAAAACAAATGCATCTAATACACCCAATTTAATGAATGTCCTAGCTTAGCAACACAGCATACTATAGATTATGTTATTCATCCTTACAACTGTGTCACTAACTGGGAGCTATAGCTCTCTGTCTCTCTACCAGTATGGAGAGAGTATGATATTGCTAGTTAGGGTAAAGATCAAAATTCAAAATGTGAAATGTGGTTTCTACTGAATACTTAGTGCTTTCCTACCATTGTAAAGTTGTAAAATCATTAGATGAACCGTCATAAGCTGGGGATATCTGTGCTTTCTCAGTCCTGAGCTGATTTTTATTTTCTCATTATGGAGGAGTTTTGGATTGACACCCAATTAATGAAAAGGAACCAGTTTTGCTAAGATTTGAGGTAAGAATATTCTGGAGTCAAGGAACAGCAAAGGTAAAGGCCTTGATGCAGGATCCTGGAAAGGAAAAGACTTGAATCTTATATAAGAAAGAGAGCCACTGTGACTGGAGCATGGTGGCATTAGATGTCCTTTGAGAGGTTGGCATGGAGCCAGGATGTAGAAGATGAATAGTTGCAAAAGGCAAATCAACTGAAGGCAGGACACTGCATTCCTCCAGGGGATATATTTGGTTTCACTGGGTTCTGTAAGGTCCAACTGTGATAGAATGCTAGATTCTGAGGCAAAGCTGTGTATATGCTGCAGTCCTGGCTATGTTACTGAAGAGCAGTTGTCTCGGGCAAATTTCTTTAAAAAAAAAACATCGTTGTTGATATTTAATTTCCATAGCATACAATTCATTCAAAGAGCATAATCTGATGGGTTTTAGTTCCGAGTTATGCAACTATCACAACAAATTTTAGAACATCTTCATCGCCCTGCCCCCCCCCCCCAAAAAAAAAAAAAAACCTCCATACCCTTTAGTAGACATTCCCTAATTCCCCTAACTACTAACCTACTTTTTGTCTCTATGTGGATTTGAGGGCAAATTTCTTAATCTTCCTATGCCTCTGTATTCTCTTTTACAACATAGGGACAACAACTGTCATAATATAGATGAGAGGACAAGCAAAAACTGAATTCCACTGTTGTTGTCCAAGAGCATGGCACAAGTAGTTCGAATCCCGAAGACAAGAATCCGCCTCCCAAGGCCTAAATGCTGCCAATTTTAACCCCCAACCCCTCGGTGACACGCCCCTGCCTTCTGTCTCCAAGGCAACGCCAAACAGTTTCCTCACTTAGGGATTCGTTTCCTAAGCGCAGCCCTGCTACCTCTCTTCTTTCTCTCCTCACCTGACTTGTCCACTCTGCCCCATCAGGGGATCCTGCAGACCTTCCTACAGTCATCTTCTTAGCTAGGCAGAAGGAAACAGAAGCGGAGATAAAGGCGGCGGTGGCAGTGCTACTACACCCCTTCTGGGCTCTACGCCCCTTCAAAAGCCTCTTATTGGCTTCTAGGGCGTCCTTATACTTAGTCCCGCCCAAGGAAGTAAAAATCGTTTTCTGATTGGCCTGGTTCCTTCATGCGTCTTATTTCCGGTTCAGAGGGCACGATTGAAGCCCTACGGGATTGGAGGACTCTGCTCCGGAAGCACTACCTAAGGCGGGTCTTACCGGGCACTAGATATGGTTGCCCGGGTCAGCGTCATGGCTGCCCGGCTATCAAGGACCCGGTGGGCTATTGCATTTGCAGCTACACGCAGAAGCCCGCTGATTTCCTGCCGGAGGTGTTCCGGTGTCTCGGCAGATACAGTGTACGATGTAGTGGTGTCGGGCGGAGGCCTCGTGGGTGCTGCCATGGCCTGTGCCTTGGGTAAGAGCTGCGGACAGTGTGAACCACCGCACTGTGCCCAAAGGCTGAGTGTCTCGGACATTGTGGTCCATTCCTTCCTCTCCTAGAAGAGCCCCAGGCCCCCAGGAATGCGCTTCGTGTATCAGAGATGGTAGGGTCGAAAGTGAGAGGGGCCTTAAGAGTCACTCCGACTAGTGGGGAACAACTGCCGAGTATTATTTAGGTATGGACATAGTGGGAGGTCATCTCGTGTACTAACTTTGGCAGGTGTTTTTGTTTCTTTGTTTTTAAGACAAACAACTTTATTATGATGTAATTCAAATGCCATAATGCCCACTCACTTAGCTTAATGGTTTGTTTGTTTGTTTTTGGTTTTGGTGTTGTTATTTTTAAAAATTTTTTTAGATGTATGGACCTTTATTTTATTCATTTTGAGAATTGAACCCAGTACCTAACACATGCTAGGCGAGCTCTACCACTAAGCCACAGCCTCAGCCCCTGTTTTTTTTTTTTTTTAATTTATCTTTATTTTGTTCACTTACTTTTATGTGGTGCTGTGGATCGAACCCAGTGCCTCACACGTGAGAGGCAAGCGCTTTACGGGTGATCCACACCGCAGCCACCAGCTTAATAGTTTTTATTGTATTCGCAGAGTTGTGTATCCATCACTATAGTTAAGTTTTATAACATTTTCATTATCCTAAGAAAAAAAAAGAAAGAAAGAAAAGAAAAAGATACCTGGAACTCTTAGCAGTCACTCCGCGTTTCCCCCCATCCCTCAGCCCTAAGCAACCACTCGCCTATTTTGTCTCTCTATATATTTTTCTTATATGTAGGGAAATTATATGTAGATTAAATTAAATTATATGTAGACAGTTATATGTAGATGGAATTTACTTAATGTTTTCAAGGTTAATCTGTTGTGGCTTGTATCAGTATCCCATTCCTTTTGAGGCTGAGTAATAGTATTGTTTGTTTATGCCACATTTTGTTTATTTTCATTTATCAATCAATGGACATTCTCACTGCTGTCACATTACAGATAATGCTATTATGAATATTTTGTGTAAAAGCTTTTGTGTGCATGTATTTTTGGTTATCTTGAGTCTATTCCTACTAGTGGAATTGCTGAATAATGATAACTTTGTTTAATGTTTTGAAGAATTGCCAGACTTTTCCACTGGAAACACTACACTAGGGTTCCAGTTTCTCCAGGTCCTAGGTAGCACTTGTTATTGTCTTTTTATTTATCAGCTATTTTAGTGGATGCAAAGAGGTTTTAGTTTATATTTATCTAATGACTAATAATATTGAGTATTTTCATATGCTTACTGGCCATGTGTTATCTTCTTTGGAGAAATGATTATTCAGATCCTTTGGTTTTTGTTTGTTTATTTGTGGTTCTTGGTTTTGAACCCAAGATCTCAGTGCATGCTAGGCAAGCATTCTACCACTGAGCTGCAGACCCCAGCCTTACCTTTTGTTTATAATTGGGCCATTTTTTTAATTGAATTGTAAGAGTTCTTTTGTATATTCTGGGCACAAATCCTTCATCAGATATATGATTTGCAAATATTTTGTTCTGGTTTGTTGTCTTTTTTAAAAACTTGCTTGATAATATTCTTTGAAGCACAAGCATTTTGATTTGTTTTTTTTTATCTGTTTATTTATTTGTTATGGTACTTGGGGTTAAACCCAGGACCTTGAGCATGCTGAGCAAATGCTGCACCACTGAACTACATCCTCAGCCCCATTTTCAGTGTTGATGAAGTCCAGTTTATCAGTCGTTCATCAGTTGTGCTTTTGGTGTTATAACTAAGAAATTATTGCATAGCCCCAAGATTTACTCCCATTTTTTTTTCCTAGAAGTTTTAGGGCTTACAGCAGTCTATGATCTATTTTTGAGTTGAATTTTGTGTATCCTGTGAGGTTAGGACTATGCATTTACATGTGTAATTTAAGGTGCTCCATTACATTGTGAAACAGATATTATTTGCATATTTATGTGAAAAATATGCTTAGTAAGATCAAATAAAGATCAGAGTCTCTTAGCCAGGCAGTACCAGAGTTAGAATTCAACCCAGGCCACCAAATTCCAAATGTATTGCTTTTAACAACTTATGGTGGCTTTCAGAAATTGGATTTGAGTCTTCTAGCCTCAGAAATGAGAGGTTACCAATAGTGTGAAAGCCTTTTTTGACTTCAGCATCATGGATGACAGCCACATCTTCCCTGATAGGGTTCCTCCTATAGAGAATCGATGAGAACTAGTGCTTTCTTTGTATATGAGCTAATGGGCTGGAACCCCAAAGTAATTTTTAAAACATTGTGTCACTGGGTGTGATGGTGCACACCTGTAATCTCAGTGGCTCAGGAGTTTGAGGCAAGAGGTCTGCAAGTTTAAAGCCAGCCTCAGCAATTTAGCGAGACCCTAAGCAATTTAGCAAGACCCTGTCTCAAAATAAAAAATAAAAAGGGCTAGGATGTAGCTCAGCCGCAAAGTGTCCCTGGGTTCAATCCCCAGTACAACAAACAAACAAAACATAGTATCAATTATTGAGCACTTGCTTGGGACAGGCATCTTTTTGAATATTTTGTATATATTTTAACTTAATCCTTATAATAATCCCAATTGTAGATTGTGTAGAGAAGTTCAGAAAGATTAAGTAACTTGCACCCAAGGGTGGATAATTAGATATACAGCACTTTAGGAACAGAAAAAACTTTCTGGCAGGTTTAAGTATGTATCCTTCCTCTCAGACAGTCATTTTGGTTGTGCCTATTGGTAAATGAGTTAAAATATAAAATCCTGGGTCTCAGGCTTCAGTGCATATAAGAAGCACCTAGGTTTTTATTATTGTTTCTTAGATTTTGAATAACTCGGGCAAAGATACAAAATTCAGAAGGTACAAATATGGGCTATTGGTATGAAATGTATAAATCAAGACTTGTATTTTCTTATTGTTAGCCATCCAGATCTCCTCAAAGGTTATCATTGTTAGCAGTGTACAGAATTATATTTTTTAAATGAAGATACCAGATTCTGCTTCCAATGACTCTGACTCAGTTTGTCATGCTGGGCCAGCAAGCCTATATTTTAAACAAATACCCCAGGAGCTGGGTGTGGTAGCTTAGCAATTTTGGAGGCTGAGGCAGGATGCTCAGGCAGGAGGATTGCAGATTTGAGGCCAATCAATTTGAGCAAGGCCCTACACAATTTAGTGAGACTTTGTCTCAAAATTAAAAAGGGTTGGGGATATAGCTAACTGGTAAAGTGCCTCTGAGTTCATCTACCCCGCCCCCCCCCCCCCCCACACACACAAAAGTAGAAAATGGGGTTGGGCTTGTGGCTCAGTGGTAGAGCACTTGCCTAGGATGTGTGAGGCACTGGGTTCGATTCTCAGCATCTCATATAAATAAATAAAGGTCCATTGACAACTAAAAAAACATTTTTTAAAAAAATAAAAATTGTCTAGTTAGCTTTTAATATTTCCCCATAAGTTTATGATGTTTTCTGTTTTAATCAGCTGTTTTATTGTTGTGACCAAAAGACCTGCCAACTTTAAGCAATTTATTTGGGGCTCACAGTTTCAGAGGTCTCAGTTCATAGATGGCCAACTCCATTGCTCTGGGTCCAAGAGGTGAGGCAGAACATCAAGGTAGAAGGATATGATGAGGAAGGCAACTCAGGACATGACAATCAGTCAGCAGAGAGAGTTCCCTCACACCAGGGACAGAGGTGTACACTGAAGGCACACCCCCAATGACCCAGCTCCTATATCCACATCTTATCTGCCTACAATTACCACCCAGTTAATCCTTATTCGGAGACTAAGGTACTGATTACGTTAAAATTTGACACGATTCATTTTCCTCTAAACTTTTTTGCATGGTCTCACACACATGATCATGAGTTTGGGGGGACACCTCAGAATTAAACAGTTTCTTAAAGGCTTGAAGCAACTTTATTTCCCTCTTATATTAATTGAGTTCAGGAATAGTCCTGTATAGTTTGTTAGGGTTTTTGTTTTGTTTTGTTTTGTTTTAGGGGGTGGCGTTTGGTACTGGAGATTGAACACATGGGCACTTAACCACTGAGTCATATTCCCAGCCCCCCCCCCCCTTTTTTTAATGTTTTGAGACAAGGTCTCACTGAGTTGCTGAGGCTGGCTTTGAACTTGTGATCCTACTGCCTCAGCCTCCTGAACCACTGGGGCCACCAGCCCTGGCTCCAATCCCTTTTTTATTATTTCTGCCAATGTTTTAGGATTAGATTTGTAGGCACAATTGATGGATCTCTGGTTACCTTTTCATTTTTATAAACTCTGATTCTTTATTGTTGATTTAATCTTGTGAGTTCTGTTTGTTTACTCTTTTTTTTCTATTAAACAGGATTTTTCTTTCTTTCTTTTTTTTTTGTGTGTGTGTGGTACAGGGGATTGAACTCAGGGCTTCACATATGCTTCAAATGTACAGTACCATATTGTTATCTCCCACTAGGCTAACCCTCCAAGCCAGGAGTTGTCATTTTTAGTGACATAATAGTCTCAAGATTGGAAATATGTGATATCTAAACACTTTTGTATTTTTCACTTCATTCTTCC